TGACAAATCATCTCCGTTCAGAATCGTTTTTCGTATACAATGATACCTATCATTGCATTCAAATTTTATCCCATCCATTATAGTAACCTACAGTACAGCAGAGCGACATCCACGACTTACCCGCTTATTTGTTATTTTAAATTGCTATATGATGATATTATCAGGAATCCTTTGTCAGATTTCAAAGCCAAAACTATAATTATTGTTTTTATTAGGTTGTAACAAGAAAAATTTTAATTTTCGGTCATTTTGAAAAAGAATTTTGAATTTCTTTCTTTTGGTTCCTTAAAGTGAATACTTAATCTTATTTTTCTTAAAACTGTGAAATATTTTTTCCTGTTTAAAATGTAATAACAATTTTTCTTTTTTAAAACCATAATTGTAAAACCAATAGATCCATCGTTCACTGTTCACTCAGAAATRAAATTTAATACTTCCTCGTTGAGCATATTCGAAGAATAGTTTTGCTAGGTATAATTTACTACCTACTTACTCGTATCTTAATACCTTATCGCTCCTACTCAACATGCCATTTAAGACATGGAATGTTGCTGTTATTATTTCGTTAGTTTTTGATGTATTTTTTTAATTATCCACTCTATAATATATGAATTAGTATAGATACTATAGATAGTAATCATTATTTTTTTAAATCAGTGTAATTATCTATATTATCGTAAAACTAATTGTATAATGTACCTATATTATAGGTACTATATAATAAGCTGTTATGACTTATGCTAATATTAATGTATGTACCTACTTATTATCTGCAACCAAAAATATTTATTGAAACTAATTTGGTTGTATCGTGATATATTTTTATGAAAACTTAKAGTGACAGTCCTGTTCATTTTTAGTTATTTAGCTTTTACTTCTAGAGAAAAAAATAGGTTCTAACTTCGTTGTATTTTCCTGTGTTGCTTATACGAAATAAAATACATCATAAAAGTATTATTCATTGTGTGGCGCCTATTTTTCGATAATCGGCTATCAGTRGTATTGACTAAACTTGAAGCAGTTAACGAAAAAATAATACATCTGAATGTGGTCAAACCAATGAAAATGAAAATTTATTTATACATTTATACATTTCCCACATACCGAGGGAGTCAAGGRTGGCAATGAGAAGCCCATGTTCTACTGAGTAAAACGCTTTCTTTAATTCAGCAAAAATAGTGTTAACTTGACTATTAGCTTCAAAACTGTTTAGTATATAGGTGGTGAAAGAAATGCTGCTAGTGATGGCTGACTTGCCGGGGCGGAACCCATGTTGAGAGTAAATAATTATGAGATTGAGGT